CTTAATGTCACTGTGTAAAGTCACTTAATGACACTGTGTAAAGTCACCTAATGACACTGTGTAAAGTCACCTAATGACATTGTGTAAAGTCACCTAATGACATTGTGTAAAGTCAACTAATGACATTGTGTAAAGTCACATAATGACACTGTGTAAAGTCACCTAATTACACTGTCTAAAGTCGACTAATGACATTGTGTAAAGTCGACTAATGACATTGTGTAAAGTCACCTACTTTCAATTGATTACTTGTATTATTTAAATGATAAACTCACTTGGTGACTTCTTTCACAGCTGTTATAGACTTTTCTACCTGTTCAAGATCTGGACTGGAAGAATCTGTACGTTTTAATAAATCTAGTGGAAAAAAAGAGAGGAAATTATAAAACATAAAAACCATTTGACAAAACAAGTGATAGTAATTCCGACATGCCATGCTATATTTATTTGCAGACAGAGATAACTTCAAATTTTGAGACACATAAGTTGCTTAAAAAGTTATTGTGATTAAAAAATGCCATCAACATACTGTGAAAAGTTAAATTTTTGCTGCTGAGAAAATATGTATTAAATTAAAAGTGTTAGCCAGAACATCAGAATTTGTTAAAAAAATAAAATGTTTGTTTGGTACATACCTTGTAATAGCAATATCATACTTGGTAACCTTTGTACTGGTCTTATTAATAATTCACAAAGTGTCTGTCTACCACACTCAGGTTTACTTTGACAAATCTACAGAATCATTACAAATTACATTTTCATCATATTAGTCATATTAATAAGTAATTTTGATATTTTGATGAGTCGCTATCATCAATGATTTCACTGATCTAGATTTGTTTTAACAAAAGAAGATGGAACTAGATGTTTATACAGAAGCCATACCGTTAAGGGCACACACCCTTGATCGTTGATGAGAGAAACAAGATACAAATGAAATTTTAATAAAATACAAATTTTACAAATGTAAACAACAAAAACTCAATTTCTGTTCACCAGGACTGATTATAATGTTCAGTAAAGTATTTCTGAAGTGTTAAATTGACCTTTGTTCGTATGTCACTCGTTGTTTGGATGTACCGGTGTTCAATGTGTTTAATTGAATTTTGGAATTATAAACTGCAGAAACATTTAATAAAGTGCAGAAATATTTGGGTGAGAAAGTCTGGTGGTGAAAAGATTAATGTGTGGGCAAAACTACCCAAAACCTAAACAAGCCAAAACAAAACTACCCAAAACCTAAACAAGCCAAAACAAAACTACCCAAAACCTAAACAAGCCAAAAAATGTTCAAAATTGTATGAATAACATAAAAGCATATTGTTGAGATGTGCAGTAACAATATTTTCTGTATTTCAATGTGTCGTCAAATAGAGAATCATATCATCCCTTTAGAAAACTGGAAGAGTGATAATACAAATGTTCCATGTTGATATTGACATTTAAGGTTTGAATCAAATTAAAGATATGTCATGTCATAGTACTTTCATTATTATGGGTCAACATTGAATAAAAAGTTGTATTATTTTTATTGATATGAATTTTAATATTGTGAAAATATTTCAAAATATAATAATTTTCCATCACTGTAAAATACTTTATTTTCGCTTGGAATTAATTTTCGTTGAAGAAATGATTCAGTGAAAATAAAATCTAGCGAATATACCTTTTTTCACATTCTTTACATTCAACTTGTCAGAAAATTAATTCTAGCTAAAATAAAGTATTTTACAGTATATAGAATGGATACAGACAATAATTTCAATAGGATAAAAACCAGACACTTACGTACCTTGAGAAAAGCATGAAACCTCGGAAATTGCTTGTCACATTTGTTAACGGTTTCTTTTGTCATTTCAAAGTAATTGACAAACTGAGGATATGCTTTCATCATACCACTAGACTGTAAAAATAAGAAGATTACATGTATGTAATTATTGTTTTGGCATCGACAGTAACACTACAAATATAGTATAGGACATTAGCAGGCAGTCTTTACATCCTTATGGCCACAAAGCTCACCAACTGTTTAGATCATTAAAATATGACTTTAATTTATTTTGACGAAAGAAACTCTTCTGTTATTATTACTTGTAAAGACAATACAGTATATATGTCTTGCAACATGAACGTCTGTGTTGCAAGTTCTCACTAAGTATGTGACTTGAGTCAATAAAATAAATATGCACAGCAGAAATATCAACATCACAATTGTCTGCGTAACATTTTTGGACATACCCAATGCAATAGGACAATGTCCATATGAGGTTAGATATAATTGACTGGATGCGACAACCAAGAAAGCTGCCAGCCTACTATCTTGGATTGGATGACATTTTAACTTGCAACTACATGTATGTGGAACAATACAGCGTTACTTTGTACTAACATAATTAGACAATGTGCATTGGTTACCAGTCTGCCATTTTGGATTGGGTTGTTATGCAAGAAACACAATTGTACCGGATTCGGCTGATACCCTACCCTGGGCGATCTTATGGAGGATTTTATTTTTTTTTAGAAAAATGTGGACCAAAAGATCGCCCGGGCGATGTTATGGCAGATATTACGAAGCCCATCTTGTCTGGAAAAATAACCCTGCACTGATAAAAATGGTGTCAGAAAATGTTTAAAAATAATAATGTTTCACGTTGACCAGATATAATCATACAAAGTATAAATTCAAAGTGTTTTAATACATTAACAGGAAGGAAAAGCAAGCCAAACTCGAAAAGGGGTGCATCATGGACATGACACAACACACGTTGCGACAACTGAGTAATCAGCTAAATCATTTTGGGCGCAATTGAACTTCAAGTACTTCTTTACAAACTGTTGCTGCGCGGCGATACTACTGACATCAAGTGTGTGTTGACCGAAGTTTGACCCCCAAGTCACGCACTGAACTGGCGCGTTACCATAGCAACCTTATTCTTTTGTGCTCCGCACGCCAGTCTAGTAAAATTATTATTATATCCACAATACTGTAATCACATAACTTGTCTGCAACTCTGGCTTTGAATATATCAACATCGTTTACTTGGTGTGCTGCTTTTCTAATGACGCAAATTTTTTTACAATATTGTACCGGCTCTGTATATTTTAACTTCGTAATGTTTTCATAATAATTACGCAAACTCAAGTAATTTATATTACCGACTTTATAATGCGTTACACTCGTAATAATTACGCAAACATAAACATGGGCGCATTTAAAACATAGTAGTCAGGTGTCATGTGATTCATCAATGTTCCCAATGGTGAATTATTTTATTCGAAATGAAGTGAATATGTAATATAATAAACTCTGGGCAGCGCACTTCGATCGCATTATTCACGTACATTTCGACTGAACTCTAATAACCATGTGTTTGAATTACGTGCGGCATTTGGACAATGACCTCCAGAATTCACGCACTGATATTTTAATTATTTAAATTCAGGTCACCCAGGTTCACCCAAATTAATATAGTTACCTATCATTTGTTCAAAAAATCTTTCAACTCTCACAAATACCACGAACGCGAAGAGTTTACTGAAAGGGAACGTCTTTATTGGACAAAAAATACACGTTAAATACAAGATTATGTGTGCAAGGTTAGAATTTTAGAACGTACATGACCGCTTAAAGTGCCTGTGAAATGGCTGCTATTTTCACGCCTAAAATTATCCATTGATACATAAATATTATTAATTTTTATGTTTCTAAGCATAAATAATTTTTTTTAAGTGAAAAAATGTGTTTTTAACTCAGTCTACAGAAACTTTATTTTTGTGTATTTTAAACAAGGCTCCTCATTAGCTCCTCATTTGCATACAGGAATTCCCCTTGTGACGTCAGAAGGGGAAGTCGCTGGGCAGCTTGCATTGCCAATACGTGTAAATAAGGCAAATTTCTTGTGCTGTTTTCTCGTCTTTGACTAAATTGCCACTTATGTACTTGTTCGTCGAAGAAGAATGGGCCATAATGAACACATAGTATCAAGTTTGTTGCATGGGGTTGAGTCAGATGCGAAATATGTCCGGTCTGGTGTCGCTAGTCATCGTGGTCGTCACCGTCACCGGAGCACGTTTGTACACTGTCGCTGGACTCCGGCATTGGACAAAATCAAATTTGAATCGTCTTGTTATTTAGCAGGTTACTAGACACTATTGATTTATAAAATAGAGAAATAATTTTAAAAAAACGACAAAACACAGTTACTGAATAAATGACTACCGCGTTGTAATGGGTGAACGCGTCGGGTCATGAGGGGGACAAGTGCGTGAATGGCGGCGTTTAATTAGATAACAAAAATTATTGAGAGCGACTCACATACAGACAAATTCAGAGTGGATTTAGCGTGATTTTCATGATTATGACATCATATTAAAAAAATACATTGACAGCTCAAGCCCGGATTCTTATTCCGTAAATTATTACGCCGATCAAGCTGCAAGTAAAGGCAACAAAGGTGTGAATTCACATTCAACACCAATAACCGAACAATTCAGACACTTTGAGCCTGCGAAAATGAAAACAGCCTGAGGGCTGCGTAATTTCCTGTTTGTTCGACGCTTCGTTTTCGTGTCATTATCAAAATTACTGCTACCTTTTTACATAACACCGGTGGTCTCTATAAAGCGATAATCAGGATCGCAAAAAAATCAAATCATTTGAAACACATACTCGACGTCTCTTTTCCTTCTGAAATCAGTCTCAGTGATCATGGGCTGGTCCGGAATCTATTTTTTGGAAAACGTTTTGTATTGTCGGCGTTTCTCGTTAAAACCTAGTTGTTGTCATGGACAAGGACAGTTTTTCAAAAAAAAAAAAAGAA